CAAAAGCTTCACCTACAAAAGCTTCACCCACAAGCTTCACAACAAAAGCTTCACCCACAAAACTTCACCAACACAACAAAAGCTTCACCCACCACAAAAACTTCACCTACAAAAGCTTCACCAACAAAAGCTTCACCCATAAAAGCTTCACCAACAAAAGCTTCACCCATCACAAAAGCTTCACCCACAAAAGCTTCACCTACAAAGCTTCAACACAAAAGCTTCACCTACAAAAGCTTCACACTATCTTGATCAAGATAGTGTGAAGTAAAATCAATTCATGGTACCCAACAAAGCTTCAACCTCAAAACTTCACCTACAAAGCTTCAATACCAAAGCTTCATCTACAAAGCTTAAATATATATATATATATATATATATATATATATTCGGAAATTTGAAAATTCAAAAATTCGAAAAAAAAAATTGCCTAGGCCTCCTCTTCTTTGGGCTTAACAACTTTCATAACAAATATATATGAATGAGGAGTTTTGGGTTACCACTTAGAAAGGAAATGCCTCATTCGTCAACTCCCTCTACCGGAGACTTGGGGGACTCCTACCATATGCTACTGCACCTTTATACTTGGAAGTCTCACGACCACTCAGTGACTTAGATTTTTCAAGTCTCCAATCGAGAAGTTTTGCTCACTCGAGAAATTAAGGGAGCACAACCTCAACATAAATGCTTCACTCTCAAAGCTTCAACATACAAGCTTCAACAAAAGAAAAAATTCAAAGAACTTAGTGAAGAAGACCTTGGTGTATTTAACACAATACGTTGAAATGAAGCAAAACTTGTTTATTGATATCTCCGATAAGTTACAAATATGTACATAGACATGAATCAAAATAAACAAACAAGAGGGAGCCTTCATAAAGGTTACTCAGGAAAAGTCTCAGCAGTGGGTAGAGACCCATAAAGAGGATGCACCGGAGGGTGATTATTCGTAACCTCAGTACTAGGCAGAACCCCAGAAGGAGGAGGCACCAAAGGTTGATCATTTGGAGCTTCATTACGCGGTACAGCCCCATAAGATGAAGGCAATAAATGCCTTTGGAACAAACCCAAAAACCTCTGATGATCAAGTAAAATCTGACCATCAAATTCCTGCAGCTGGTCAAGCTTCCTCTTCATGTTTGTAACATAGTCATGTGCGAGCCTGTGCAACTATTTATTCTCATGCTTGAGCCCTCTGATTTCCTATTTGAGACTTATCACTTCAGCCACCAATGATTCAACTTGGCGGGTTCGAGCAAATAGGTGTTGGGCCATATTAGACACAAAACCTGCACACTGAACACTAGAGCCAGAGAATCCTTAACAGCCAACTCATCAGACCGTTTGGAAAATAGTCTGTTATCTTTGGGAGTGAGAAGGTTCATGGCCACCACCGCGGCGGTCATATCATTCTTCATCACAGAGTCCCCAACGGAAAGATGACCAGTAGGGGATAAAGCTTGTCTGCAATCTTCACATGCAACATCAGCTTTCCAGATACCACAGACCACTTTTTCAAAGTGCTCTGACAAAGTTAAAACACGTGAATCTTACAGCTCCCACTACATTGCTATGATCGAGAAGGGTAAAAGAACAACGTTACTACTCGCTGTTGGGACAATTTCTATATATGTCGACCTTCATCCTCCACAACTAGGCAAATCTGCAAATAAAAAAATACCCAACTTTTCTTCACATCTGAGAGGGCACTCTCAGCAGAGTCTTTCGAAATACTCAGCTTATTTTCCCCCTGATAATACCTCTGCAAACAAGCCACACCAGAGCCAGAGTATCTCATATCATCAGGTTTAAAAGCAAGAGTATCCCATATCATGTTTTTTCCCTGTCTTTTCCTTTGGCCTTGTTCTTACCTGCAAGATAAGAACAAAGAGAACAATCAGTCAGCACTTGGAATCAAGCTTCCAGTCAGGAACTGACTACCTGGAACTCCTTGCCTGATTACTTACCTAGCATTGCTCTCGAGTACTCATCTTCAAATGCTTCCAGAAAAGATACCACATCTGCCTAAGGAACAGATAGGGCAAGTGAGAAGGATACAAGGAAGCATGTGGAGAAAAACACAACAGAACACATGCCGATTCATCTATTACTTTGTCAATAGAAAAAGTATCCCATATCATCAAGATCGAACGCACTCTTGGTTTAATGGACTTGTTTTGACCCTCAAATTCTTGAGTAAACCTTATACTCTGGAGGAAACCAGAAAACCCTCCAACCCAGTTCAAGAATAAGTCTGTGGAAAGTTACTTCTTCAAAAGCAAAAGTATCTCATATCATCTTTTCTCTATTTGCTTCTCCTTATCTTTGTTGCTGTTTACGACATAAGGAGAAGGAGAACAATCAACCGGAAGTCAAAGTCGAACCTCCGATCCAGGTTGCTTGCTTGAAAGTCTGATTGCTTACCTTGTCTGTTACCTCATTCGGCAAATCTCCTAGCTCGGCAACTTGGGGGACTCCTACTATAGGGTTTGTATCGCACTTGACCAAGTCCAAAACTACAAGTAAGCTTCAAGTGAAATTGATACATTACCTTGTGCATCTTCATCGGTTAAAGATACCACCCCTGGATGAAGGAAAAGTACTTCTAGAGAAGATGTCACATCTACATATGAGACAGATAAGGCAAGTAAAAATGATACCACACTTCAGTACTTAGAAGTTTCGTGATTACTCAATGGTTTGGATCTTGCAAGTCCCCAACCGAGAAGCTTCCCTCACTTGGGAACTTAGGGAGGCACTGTTTGTACCATACTTGACCAATCCCGAAACTACTAAGCATCGGTCAACGTTATACTTTCAAGGACCCATAAGAGTTTCCCTTCAACCAGGAGGCCAATCACAGCGCGACACGTGTCGACATCAGAAGCCAATCATAGCGCGACACATGTCAACATCAGAAGCCAATCACAACACAACACGTGTCAATGTCAGAATGAAACTTGAAACTCTCTTCTATAAATAGAGATCATTCTCTCACAATATTTCCTAATGTCATTTGTACTAAATCATTTACTAGTACTAACTAAAGGAGAGCTTAAACCTATGTACTTGTGTAAACCCTTCACAATTAATGAGAACTCCCATATTCCGTGGACGTAGCCAATCTAGATGAACCACGTACATCTTGTATTTGCTTCCCTGTCTCTATCATTTACATACTTATTAACACTATGACCGGAGCAATCTAGCGAAGGTCACAAACTTAACACTTTCTATTGTACCAAAGTCCTCACTGATTTTGTGCATCAACATTATGTTCATCTCAATTTTGACACAATGAACAACGAATTGAACTCAAATCCATTTTAATTGATCACAACATATCTCATCCATCCACCAAATGGGACTTGGAAGGATGACATATTCAATGTACATGTATATGTAGTTAGATTCAGCCTATTCTAAAAGCATCTAACCATTTTTTTTTTACTATTATTAAAGGGAGGGTGATAGTTCTAAACAATTACATTAATTTAGGAGAAGGAAGAGTTTTGAATCCAAAACGTATGGGTAGAAACTCAAAAGCTACCCTATAACTATTAGACCATATGCACATAAGCAATTCAAAATCCATAAAAGTAACATATTTTATCTCACATATTAATACCAAAAACTACATCACTAAACCGATGTAAAATTAAGTCACAGGCCTTTATCTAAAGGGATTCCAATTTTTTTTAAATGGGAATTAGTTGTGGAATCCATTTCACATCGAACTTCAACGATCCAAACCGTCTATTTTGTAAGTCTCCATTCATAGATCATCCTTACAAAAATTCAACTCAATTTGAAACAATTTGTTTTTTTAATTATCATGATGAAATTTCAATGCTTTTTAGAACACAAAGTGTTTGTCAATTTCTTTGAACTCAAGGATAATATATGAGGTGCAATTTAAAAAATAGACGGGTTCGATTTGTTAAAGTTCGAATTGATGTAGACCTCCCAACTAATCTTATTTTCATATAAAAAAAAAAAGGATCTCTTCCCTTAAAAGCTTCCTATAAGTCATATCACTTTCAAAATTTCTTCACTTCAATGGTATCATTTGTTCAACATTTGGTTCAAATTTCTATATATGTAAGAGTATATAGGATATATTCTTAATCGGAGCTATGTGTTGGGTACAAAACGAACTATTTTTTTGCCTTTTACCGAGGAATATGTTCTTCATTGCTTATGAAAGGAAATAATCGAACCAGTCATTAAACAAATTCGTTTAGCTTGGTTATCCTACTAATTTGATGCATAACCAAATTAATCCTAATAGTAGTGTTGCATTTGTTCGACATGCGGCTTAAGGCACCGACAGTAAAACATAGATTGGTTGAAAATATAATAAAAGTAAAATTTGAAATCAATAAAGTGAGATTCTATACAATTAACATACCACCTAAAACATTCGAGAAAATTCTATGGTTCCCTTGATTAAGTTTAGTGAACTATCTTGACCGTTAAATACTTTTGACTGAACATCAAGGAGTTGTTTAATTTTGGGCCCACAGTATTTAATCGTAGACTGTTACAACAAGGCATTAAGTTTTAATGTGATTCAATGTTATAATTAGAAGAAACATAATATTACACTATAATTGTCAAAATCTATAATTGTCAATATTTTTTTGACAAAATACTATTGTTATTACATTAACAACGTTAGTTTTTACAAAGTGGATGTCACACTACAGTGTGAACGTAAGATATTATGTGTGGACATCATCATATTAGAGATTCATTACTATTCCATTTTGGGCCCCACGCCAACTATCACGTTAAGGCTATTACAACATGACATTAAGTTTCAATGTGGTTATAATTTTTCTTATATCCCCAGGGCAAGGGAGCTGGTCTTATGTAGGGGCAAATCTCAGAGTTCTCACCAAGCTGGGAATGATTTCTGGAAGTCTTTGTGGAGTATTAAATCTTTGCCCAAGATCAAATTATTTCTTTGGCGTGTGGCTACTAATTGCTTACCTACGATGCTGGGCCTTTTCAATAGAAGGGTTGTCCAAAATCCTTTGTGTCCTCTGTGTAAAGAGTTCCCTGAGTCAGCGGAGCATGTCCTCTTTCTCTGCCCTTGGACGATTAGGGTTTGGTTTGCTAGCTCCCTAAACTACAGGTTAGACCGATCAAGCATCACTTCTTTTGATGCGTGGTGGTCTGCGCTTAAGAGGACGGTGGGCGTTAATTCTAACTCGCACTCTTGGGTTTACACCGTGGCATCCTTCATATGTTGGGAGATTTGGAAATCTAGATGTCATTGTATTTTTCATGGTTCTGTTCCTTCCCCGGAGTATACAGCCGAGAAAGCTTATCGGGTTGCGGCGGAGTTTTTCACGATCACTGGGTCTCAAGGAGACCCCAGTACTCCTTTGCCGAATTTGACTGTCTCTCATCCCCATGCTTGGGAGCCCCCCCCGCTTGGAGTTATCAAGGCAAATTTTGATGGTGCTTGGTCAAGAAATTCCCTTCAATCTGGATTGGGCGTTGTCTTCCGTTCATCAAACGGGTCGATTTTTAATGGGGTTTCCTCCCCTTGCCTTTCTTCTTCAGCTCTTCAAACGGAGGCTAAGGCTGCTCTTCTTGCCGTCCGTTCAGCATTGGATAGTAACTTTAGCGATGTGGTTTTTGAATCCGACTCGAAGGAGCTTATCAGGAGCTTAAACAATGATTTCAAGAAAGCCAATTGGACCATTTTTCCCTTGCTAATCCAAATTCGGAATCTATCTACTCAGTTTCGCTCGATTTATTGGCGGTGGGTTCCTCGTCAAGCGAATAGTGCAGCTGATTGGGTTGCGTCGCATTGTAAAAGAGGGATGTGTTCTGATGTTTGGGTCATTCGACCCCCATCCTCTCTAGTTCATATTTTGTCCAAAGATGGTCTCCCCTGCCCTCCTTAATTCCCCTGGAGTTGAGACTGTGGAGAAGTGCATATTGGACCTTAGCCCCGCTGTTGTGTCGTGCTTTGTCTTCTCCTAGTCTTAACTCTAGGGTGAGTCCTCGTTGACTCTTTTTGCTGTTTGGTTCCTGTAATCTTTCCTTTCCTTGTTTTGCAGCTTGGCTGCTGGCTTTTGCTGTTATGAATGGTTCCTCTTTGTCCAAAAAAAAAAAAAAAAAGTTTCAATGTGATTCAACATTTAAATTACCAGAATGTAGAATAATATTATAACTGTAAATTTTAGTGTCTAATATTACATAATATTCTCAAATTACAAAATGACATTGTTATTAATGCAACAACGTTGATTGCTACGTTACGGATAAGGATGGGCAACGGTTATGTCGGGCGGGTAATCGTGGTTGTTTACCCATAACCGTTTATATTCATACCCACATAACCGTTTACCCGTTGGGTAATTGCCTAAATGGTTATACCCATACCCATAACCGTTTATAAACGGTTAACCATATCCATAACCGTTTACCCATTTAACCGTAACCGTTTATACCCGTTTACCTATTTACTCTTTTTAACCCGTTTGTCTTTTTTTTTTTTTACCATTACCTCTTTTTCACCCGTCTACATGTTTTTTAACAACTTGAAAATTAAAAAAAAATTGTCATAATTTTTTTTTTTTTTTTTGACAATTAAACACTGTTATAAGTACATTCATCATACATTTTCGTATTTTAATTTTTTAAGTCCTTATATCATTCCAATAATTGAAATAATAGTTTACGGACGATATTTTTAACTGTTACCAATGAAGGTAATATAATATTTGCTAAGTATTCTTGGGTTACGAAAACTGTTTAGAAGATAATATTCTTGGGTTATTTAACCCATAATGTAAAGTATTAACATAATATATATAATGAGCTACATTATATTATAATTAGATATATAAACCATGCACCATAGTCAACAGCATTGATCTAAGTTTTGTCCGATAGAGAATATGGTTAGGAGAATGTTTACACTTGTTGACCATGAATTATGTCTTTTCGGCAACAATCAAAAGATGCAACATTCAAATTGAAGAGATGTGATTGTTGGGTTAATAACACAACTTCTCATCCCCTGTCAAACAGCCGCATATATATAATTTTATTTTTAAAATATTCAACTTTACATATATAAAATAAATAGGTAAATGGTTACCCGTTTATAACCGCGGTTAATATCCATAACCATCTATTTAAATTTCACGGGCAAACAGTTATACCCATAACCGTTTATTTATCTAAACGGTTACCCATAACCGTAACCGTGAAGTTTAAATAGGCGGGTAACCACGGTTACCTATAACCGCGGGTATTTTGCCCATCCCTAGTCACGGATGTCTTGTTACACTATTAAAGTAGGTTTATAGATAAGAACGACTATTACTTAACATGCTCAATGGGTCATATTAAAAAGTTGCAACATAACTTGTTAGACTATATACACAGTAGACAAATACAATATTATTTCACCTAAGTAATGATATTAAGTTAATTGCTCCTTCTCAAGCTACGGATGTGAACTAATACATTTATGGCATGTTTATGTGTCTAGAATCAGAGTAAAAATGATGATGATTTCATACAAATAGTTAACTAAATACCACTGAACCGGAATTAAAACCAATATGATTATTATATTGCCTGTGTGTATTTTTTGTTCTCTTCCTCCGCCTCATGTTCATCCCATTTTTTTTTTATCAAAAGTACGATATTCATTAAGTAAGACCAAATTCGTACAAACTGAGGATAGTGTGCATAATGGGCCTCGATAAAAACCTTGTTGGGGATTTCAACCCAGTCGAAGGAAAAGAGCGTCCCGCACAAAGAGAACTATCCTCAAATAAACAATTGAAAAGAATTACGCACTCTCTTGAAGGAGTATATCTTGGATCAAATATGGGGGTTCCTCAAACCACACTACCTCCTAAACACTATTAATTCTCATCCGAGCAAGTCGATGGGCTGCCGAGTTCCCTTCCCGTTGAATATGACTAACCATTGACTCCACCCACTCCATGCGAAGACACCGAAGATCATTAATTATAAGACCAAGGGTTGAGTGGTCGTCTTTACTCCCCCGCATGGCAGCCAACACCACCGCCGAGTCACCTTCAAACTGAACTTTCCTCTCCACCGTACCAATAGAGCAGACCAAAATTGCAGCTCTCCAAGCTGCAAAGAGCTCAACATGCACCGCTGAAAAAATCCTCTCAACGAGACCAGCAGCAGCAGCAGCAAGACACTTCCCCAAATGATTTCGAATCACCACCCCAAAACCTCCTCGGTTATTTCCCTTATTCCAAGCTCCATCAAAGTTGCATTTAATCCACCCCTCCGCAGGTTTTCCCCATCTCTGAACCTCCCGGTTTTTCTTCTTTGTCGCTGGCTTATGCCACTTGTGGAATTCTTGCATCCAGCCCTCTGTCTGAAGTACAATGTCAAGTAGTTGTAGTGCTTTGCTAGTCCAAAGATTCTCATTTCTATGCTTCCACAGAGCCCAACTCAACATTAAGTCTAAATCAAACCCCGAAGCAGGCCCATTAAGCTGTAAATTAGCTAACCAATTCATGAAACACTCTCCCTGCACACCATCCACCCTAACACCCAGGCCTCAAAACCACACCGCTCTAGCCACATAACAAGCTCTGAAAACATGTTATGTTGATTCCACCGAACCTCCGTAAACTACACATACCTCATATGTCATCAATCTTCGCTTACAAAGATTGATTCAATCTCGTGGGCAGAATGTTAACACATGCACGCCACACACAAATCTTGACCTTCCTCGGAACACAAGCACTCCACAGCTTTTTCCAAAACTGCTCGCCAACAATACTAGAAGAAGATGATGAGCCAGTTACCCCTTCACCATTTGCTACATTTATCCCCCGTACAACATGATATGCACTCCGGACAATGAATTTCCCATTTCCTTCGTAGTGCCAAACCCTACGGTCCTCACTATCCTGTAGATTTATAGGAATGCCACCAATTAGATCCAAACTCCTCTTGGGAAAATAACTCATTCATCAACTGAATGTTCCACTACTTCGATTCCAACAAAAGGGGATTCTCATGCAGTTCAGGCTTTGTTGGGGCTTACCCAATAACATCGTCCCCTTATTGTCTTTCTTTCTGAGACAAAATGTAGTGAGAGTGTGATTTTACAGAAGCAACGTAGTTTAGGGTTTGATAATTCTTTTTGCAGTGGCGAGTAATGAGAGATTAGGGGGTTGGCGGTTTTTTGGATGAATGAGGTGAAGCTTGTGATATTATCTTTTTCAATGAACCATATAGAAATGGAATGTAGGGTTCACAGGGCAGAGCAGAAGTGGAGATTAACTGGATTTTATAGTCATCCGGTCACATCAAATAGGCATCTTTCATGGGCATTACTTAAGAGTTTGGGTCAACGAAGTCCCTTGCCGTGGATATGTATGAGGGATTTCAATGAAATCCTTAGTGTGGAAGAGCAATTGGGTGGTAATCAACATAGGGAAAGCCAAATGGATGGATTCCGAGAGGCAATCCATGCGTGTCAGTTAATTGATCTGGGCTTTGTAGAGACTGAGTATACCTAGATGGATAACAGGGAGGACGAGGTTAGATGTCGACTTGATCGGGTTCTCGCATCCTAACCGTGGCTTAATCTATTTCCCATGACAAGGGTGTGTCATCTCAATCCTTCGAAGTTGGATCATCTTCCTATTTTAGTGGAAATTAAGAGTGCGATGGAGTTGCCTAGTAGAATGAGGGGTAGATGATTCAGGTTCGAAGAGATGTAGCTTCGGGATGAGAGTTGTGAGGAGACTGTTAGCTCGACATGGAGTAAACTGGTGGTAGGTCTTCCTCTCTTCCAATTGTGCGAGATGATTCGGTTCACCAGGTACGCTTTGCTTGCTTGGAAAAATGAGGTATTTGGGTCTACGAAGGCAGAGATTGCAAAGGTCCGTGATAAGTTAGGAGTGCTCTTTGAGCAACCTCATTCGACTGCGGTTCATGAAGCTAGGGGTGAATTGATAGAGAGTTTGTATCTACTTTTGGGAAGGGAGGTGACTTATTGAAGGCATAGTCTCAGGTCCAATGGTTACAGGAGGGGGACATAAATACGAAGTTTTTTCATTTACGTGCGTCTAACCGTAAACAGAAGAATCATATTAAGGGGTTGCGATATTCGACTAGGGTATGGCAGGATACGAGGGTTGGCATTGAGGACACAGTGGCAGAATATTTTCCAGTCTCAGGGCGTCTTAGACCGTGTAGTGCAAGAGGTTGTGGGAGCTTGTTCACCACAAGTTACTACCGATATGAATGAGGACTTACTGAGGCCGTACTCAGAGGAGGAGATTCGTGTGGCCCTTTTCCAGATGCACCCGTCCAAAGCTCTGGGACTGGATGGTATGTCACCTCTATTTTTCCAGAAATTTTGGCATGTGGTTAAGCATGATATGGTGAGTGCAGTCCGGTCTTTTCACACTTCAGGTATACTGCTCCGGGAGGTGTGTTTTACTCATGTTGTCTTGATTCCCAAAGTGAGTTAGCCACAGGAGATGTCACAGTTGCGTCCGATTAGTTTGTGTAATGTTATTTATAAGATCGGAGTAAAGGTGATTGCGAATCGCTTGAAGAAATATTTGAGCTTAATAATCTTCCGGCATCAGAGTGCGTTTGTGCCTGGTCATTTGATAGCATCAGAGTTCTTTCGCTCTTAGACTAGACCTTAGTAAGGCATATGATAGGGTGGAGTGGGTTTTTTTGGAAGCTATGATGCTGAGGTTGGGGTTTGACAGTAAGTAGGTGTCGGTGGTGATGATGTGTGTGACGTCTGTGTCGTACTCGTTTTTGGTCAATGGTGATGCATGTGGGTATGTGTAGCCATCCCGGGGTCTCCGTCAAGGGGATCCATTATCACCTTACTTATTCCTTTTGTGCATTGAGGGTTTGTTGGCACTTCTTACGCATAAGGAGCAGACAGGTGCTCTTAGTGGGATTCACATTTGTGAATGAGCACCAAGTATCCATCATTTATTGTTTGTTGATGATAGTTTCTTGTTTGGTAAAGCTAATTTGGATGAATGTGTCGAGGTCCAACATATTTTGGATGTGTTCTCCCAAGCGTCTGGGCAGGAAGTAAACTTGGAGAAAAGTAACATTGCTTTCAGTGCGAATGTGAGGGTTCGAGAGCAACAAAGGCTTGCTAGCTTCCTAGGAGTACAGTTGGTGGATCGGCATAAGCGTTATTTGGATCTTCCTACATTTGTGGCGAAGAATAAATGCCAAACCTTCTCTTATATAAAGGAACGAGTTCATAAGCGGTTGAGTGGATGGAAAGAAGTGTTTAAGTGGAGTAGGACGTGAATTGCATGTAAAAGTGGTGGCTCAAGCGTTACCTTCGTATGCTATGAATTGTTTTCTACTTCCAAAGACTTTTTATGATGAGTTACATCAACTAATAGCTCGCTTTTGGTGGGGGAGTGATCCGGATTCGAGGAAGATCCATTGGAAATCATGGGATAAATTGTACATTGCAAAATCGGAAGGTGGTATAGGTTTCTAGAATCTTTATGCTTTTAATTTGGTGGTGTTAGTGAAACAAGGTTGGCGAATTGCCTAATTCCTTGATTCCTTAACAGCAAGATTGTTGAAAGCTAAGTATTTTCCCAATACTTCCTTTTGGGATGCATCAGTGTTGTCGTCTTATTCCTATTGTTGGTTTAATATTCTTAAAGCTAGAGTGGTGTTGGAGAAAGGTACGCGATGGTTGATTGGGGATGGAGCATCGGTGCAGGTCTAGAAGGATAGATCGGTGCCTTGACCGTCTACTTTTCATCCCATAACATTGCAGCCTTCCTCTTAGGAGGAGTTGCAGGTTTGTGACCTCATTGATGTGGATAGGAAAATGTGGAATGACACGGTGCTGAATGAGCTTTTTGAGGAGGAAGACAAGGAATTTATTCTTGCTTTACCTCTTAGTTTTCGGCTTCCGCCTGATAAGCTAATTTAGCACTTTAATGATCGGGGTATCTTCACTGTTAAAAGTGCGTATTGGGTTGCTTGGGAGTCCATTAAGCCACAAGCACTAAGTGATAAATTCTAGTGAGTTAGTTTTGGTTCCTGGAGGCAGACAAGAAAATGAAAACAGAGAACACAGAATCGGGGGGGGGGGAATGTGAAAGGTTTCTTATCTGTGAAGTAATCACAGATATTTCAATAAATATCAACTTAGGATATTTCCTTACAAGCTAATCTAGAGCAATCTCAGCCCTTGATTCAAAACAAAGATTTAAAGCATACACTTGTCTTATGAGACTAGACATACACTTTTCTATTGATTTCTTTCTTCTTAAACACTTGAACAAAAATGAATTCTATTTAATTCCAACACTCCCCTTTAAATGAATTCTGGTTTTGATCCCAAGCATTCCTCTGAGATAGACAAACCTTTCCCTCGGTAGAGCTTTGGTGAAGATGTCGGCCATTTGATCCTGTGATTTGCAGTAGATCAGTTCAATGGTATTCTCCTGCAAGGCTTCCCTTATGAAGTGAAACTTCCTTTTGATATGCTTGGTTTTCTGATGAAAAATAGGATTCTTGGTCATAGCTATTGCTGATGTGTTGTCACACATAAGTGGTGAAGCATCCACTTGCATTTCACCAAAATCCTTTAACACAAACCTCAACCATATAGCTTGGGAGGTAGCCATTGCAGCACTCACATACTCTGCTTCAGCCGTAGACAATGCAACACTTTGTTGCTTGACAGAAGCCCAAGAAAATATCCCTGAACCGAATGTAAATGCATATCCTGAGGTACTTCTCATGTCATCTTCACTGCCACCCCAATCACTGTCACAGAAGCCTACCCGAATTGCTTTTTCTCCCTTTTCATATTTGATTCCATAGTCCAAGGTCCCTGAGATATACCTTAGTACTCTCTTAGCAGTTCCCATGTGAATTCTCGTGGGATTATGCATAAACCTTGATAAGAGACTGGCTGCATACATAATGTCAGGTCTTGTGGCAGTCAAATAAAGCAGACTTCCAACCATCCTTCGGTATAAGCATTCATCAGCAGATTCAGAACCATCCACTTTACAAAGTTTCTCATTCGTGATCAATGGTGTTGCCACAGATTTGCATCCTTTCAGATTGAATCTTTCAAGCAGTGATTGTGCATACTTCTGCTGATGTATGAAAATCCCAGTAGCTTCTTGTATTACTCCAATTCCCAAGAAGTGATGCAACAAGCCAAGATCCGACATCTCATATTGTCTCATAATTTCCCTTCTAAATTCTTCAATCATTTCTTCACAATTACCAGTAAAGACCACATCATCAACATATATAGACACAATAAGCATCTCAGAGTTCTCACCAGTTTTTGTATATAATGTAGCTTCACTAGGACTTTTGTTAAATCCACTCTTGCTGAAATAGGAGTCTATCTCACTGTACCAAGCCCTGGGGGCTTGTTTGAGTCCATACAGTGCTTTGTTTAACTTGTAGACCTTATCCTCTTTATTTGGCACTTCAAATCCTTGTGGTTGATCCACATACACTTCTTCCTCCAAAATGCCATTTAGAAAAGCTGATTTGACATCTAATTGGTGAAGTTTCCATCCCTTTTGGGCAGCAAGAGCAATCAAGGTTCTAATGGTGTCTAACCTTGCCACTGGGGCAAAGGTTTCATTGAAATCTACCCCAGGTTGTTGTGAGTAGCCCTTGGCAACTAATCTTGCTTTGTTCTTCTGTATTGATCCATCCAAATTCAGTTTGATCTTGTAAATCCATTTCACACCTATCACAGGTTTATCACTCGGTCTATTTACCAATTTCCAAGTAGAGTTTTTCTCAATCATGGCAATTTCTTCACTCATTGCTTTCTGCCAGGATTGATCCTTCTCAGCTTCTTCAAAACTCTCTGGTTCAACAACACAATAGTTACACACTGCATAGATCTCATTTAAACTCCTCATTCTCACTGGAGTTGTTTCAGGGGAGGAATCCTGTAATTCTTGTCCTTCTGCATTTGAAGTAGAGGACTGAGATCCTTGTGTTGGAGTTGAAAAGTCAGTTTGACTCTCATCTTGTATAACAGGTTCATTCACATTTTGCACTTCAGCTTGTGCTTCTTCCATTGCTAGTGGAAATGAGATAGTGTCTATGTTATTGGTTTCCCAATTCCATGCTTCATTCTCCTTGAACACCACATCTCTTGAGAGAATCACTTTGCGTGACTCAATATTGTAGAGCCTATAGCCCTTTTCACAGCTTCCATAACCTACAAGGACACACTTGACACTATTGATCTCAAGCTTGTGTCGTAGTTGAGATGGTATCTGTGCATAGCAGATTGATCCGAACACCTTCAAGTGCTTCACACTTGGTTTTCTGCCACTAAATGCCTCAAACGGTGTTTTCTTCTCAAGTGCTTTAGTTGGACACCTGTTTATGAGATACACAGATGTATTGACAGCTTCACCCCAAAAAGAAAGTGGCATTTTCTTATCATGGAGCATTGACTTGGTCATTTCAACCACGGTCCTGTTCTTCCTCTCAGCCACACCATTCTGCTGTGGTGTGTAGGCCACTGTCAATTGCTTCTGCAATCCTGCTCCTTCACAGAATTCTTGGAACTCAAGTGAAGTGAATTCACCACCTCTGTCGCTTCTTAGTCTTTTGATCTTGAGACCACTCTGAAGTTCAACCATCATTTTGAATTTCTTGAAGATTGAAAAGACTTCACTCTTGTTTCTCATAAGATATACCCAAACCATCCTGGTGCAGTCATCAATGAATAGCAGAAAAATATCTGTTCCCACTGAGTGTAGGTGTCTTCATTGGACCACACACATCTGTGTGTATGAGTTCTAGAGGTTGACTTGCTCTCCATGCACTTCCAGTTTCAAAAGAGTCCATGTGATGCTTCCCCAATATGCAACCTTCACACGGTTCTTTAGTCTCTTGTAACTCAGGAAGACCAGTCACCATTTGTAGTTTCTCCAATCTCTTTAAACTGTGAAAGTTGAGATGTCCGAACCTCTTATGCCATAACCAAGAGTTTTCTGCAACACTTGCTTTTAGGGCAATTGAATCATTGTAATCTAGCATAAGTGGAAAGCTTTTGTTTTCTGTCATGCCAACTTGTGTTACCAAGTTTTGGAGGCTTCTGTCATCAAAGATCTCCACCATATTGTCTCCAAAAAGTAAGAAGTAACTATGAGCAATCATCTGTCCCACACTAAGGAGATTCTCATCAAGACCTGGTACAAGTATTACATCCTTGATGAATCTTCTTCCACCCTTTGTCTCTAGAACAAGAGTTCCTTTTCCAGTAGCTTCCACTAGTTGTCCATTCCCCATTTTAACTCTGCAATTGAAGCTTCTGTCAATGTTGATCAGCAAGGATTCATATGCAGTCATGTGATTACTGCATCCACTGTCAATATACCAGATTCCTCTCTTGTTTTCAGTTTTTGCAACACTACAAGCATAAAAGACATTTACTTCCTCTTCTTCTGCTCTATGTGCATAGTTGACAACTTGGTTCCTTCTTGGATTACAATCTTTTGCTAGATGGCCAAATCTGTCACACTTGGTGCATTTGGGTTTTCCCTTGAACCAGCAAACACCATAGTGTAATTTGTCACAGATTTTACACTTGGTTTTGGTAGACTCACTGCTAGATTCTGATTTTGATTGTGAAGTATGGTTGTTGTCCCATTTCTTCCCTTTGCCTTTCCATAATTTCTTTTGATTTGAGTTGCTCCCCTGACCCCTGTAACTGTTATCTCTCTCAGTCACACTTAGGCTAGTAAAGCCTTTTCAGCTAAGTTTTCAGAATGCATATTTAACCTCTGCTCATAGCCTTTCAATGTACCAATCACTTCTTGAACCTCAATGGAGTCAAGGTCTTTAGTTTCTTCTATAATAGATGCGATGGAATCATAAGATTTAGGCAAGCTAATAAGTATCTTTTGCACTAATCTTTGATTTGTCAGTTCTTCACCAAGAGTTTTCATTTGATTCACAATATCAGTCAATCTTGTTAAATAAACAGATAGAGCTTCACCATCATTCATCCTAGTATACTCAAAATCTCTTCTTAAACAATGTAGTTTGACAGACCTAACCTTTTTGTCACCACGAAATTCTTGTTGAAGAACATCCCATGCAGTCTTGGAGGTTTCAAAGTTTGAGATTCGAGGAAAGATCTCATCAGACACTGCCCCTTGAATGATACCAAGAGCTTTTGCATCTCTGGTTTCATTAACTTTCATTGCTATCTTCCTCACAGACTGTTGATCTTCATCGCTACAATCATCTTCAGTTTCTGCAGTTTCATACCCCTTGTCCACCAAAGTCCAGAGATCATGTGATTTGAATATGGTCTTCATCTTGATGGACCAAAAATCGTAGTTGATCCCATTGAAAATAGGAGCCCTCAGATCTCCTCCACTGCTCGAAGTAACCATGTGAGGCTTTGTAAGAACAGATGAGATTTTCACGATCCGGGTATGTTTTTCCCCCTTTTCTTTTCAGAGATACGAAGCACACACACACAAAACGCCCAGTCCTGAATTTGATCAGAACCTAAGCTCTGAGGCCATGATAAATTCTGGTGAGTTAGTTTTGGTTCCTGGAGGCAGACAAGAAAATGAAAACAGAGAACACAGAATCGGGGGGGAATGTGAAAGGTTTCTTATCTGTGAAGTAATCACAGATATTTCAATAAATATCAACTTAGGATATTTCCTTACAAGCTAATCTAGAGCAATCTCAGCCCTTGATTCAAAACAAAGATCTAAAGCATACACTTGTCTTATGAGACTAGACATACACTTTTCTATTGATTTCTTTCTTCTTAAACACTTGAACAAAACTGAATTCTATTTAATTCCAACACTAAGTGCATATTCTTCGGCTTCTGGAGGAAGTCCTTTTACTCCTGTATGGAAGGCTATTGGGAAGGCCAAAGTCTCGCTGAAAGTGCGGAATATGGTGTGGAGAGCTTGTCAAAATATTCTCCCGACAAAGGAGACTTTATCGAAGAAAGGAGTATCATCGGACTTGACATGTGTTTTCTGTAATAGAGCCCCGGAGTCAGAGGTACATGTTCTCAAGGAGTGTCATTTTGCAAGAGCAATGTGGTTTGCGACCCCATGTAGCTTTCTCGCTGATTCTGTTCCTTGTAGTTCGGCTAAGGAGTGGTCCTTATGGGTACTACAAACTAAGCAATATGTCTTTGACGTTATATGCATGTTGGTCTGGCATATTTGGCGAGCGAGGAATGATCGTATTTGGAACGGTAAGAATGAGCCACCTGGTTTGGTGGCCCAAAGAGTCGTGGCATGGATGCAGGAATTCTAGGTGGTGGATGATCGTGCTCGTGTGGTACAGCAACGGAAGCTGGGTAGTGGGTTGGTGGCGGTTTGATGGACGGGGAGATGGCGGAGGACTGGGTGTGTGTGAAAGTGGATGGCGCTACAAAGCTGCAGGCACGGGTGGGTGGAACTTGAGCTGTGGTCCGTGATGCGCATGGTGGTTTCGTGGCTGCAATGGCATGTTTTTTGCCCAATGTTTCCTCGACTCTTCAGGCAGAATTGCCAACAATGAAACATGGGGTGGATTTGGCTCAACAGTTTGGTATTCACAAGGTCCAAGTCGAAAGTGATTTGTTTCAAGCAGTGTCCATTGTCAACTCTTGTGTGGATAGGGCTTCAACTATGGACTTGCTGGTGGGAGATATTATATTTAGTGCAGCTTCTTTTACTGCTTCAAAGTTTATTTCTATTTGTAGGAATAATAATGGTATTGCCCATTGCTTGACAAAGGTAGTAGTGTCTACTGGAACTCGAGGAGTCTGGATCGAGGAGCCTCCGAGTGTTATTTTGGATCTCCTCATCCAAAAAATGGTGTAATGGTTCTCAGTTAATGATATCGATTTTCTTAAAAAAAAATTGTCTATATATTATCACATTTCATTTTTGGAATTGAATGATTATAGATTTCTCATCAAAGCAGTCTTTTAATTCCGAAGGAATTTGAATATAGTTAAAGATAACAACTTAATAAAGATGTTCCAGTCCCTAGAACGAAACAAGAATCATACTAGAAAATGAAAGCTCTATCCGATCTGATAAACTTTTTGCCACTATTAATTGCCAGATATTTACATACTAGAAGTCCAAAGGCTATAAACATCAAGTTTTTATGATGACCAGAGAAGTATGAGGATCTTAAAAGTAACCCAGACCCAAACGGCTTTGTTTTGAAATACTCAGCATCACAACCGTCGATTCATGGTTATCATGATCTCCACCGCTGATGCGTGGGCCCACAGGGGTGTTGGACATGGCTATGCAGTGTAGCCGACATGCCTTTAAGATATTTCTGGTGTTGTGGATGATGCACCGTTTGTTTAAAGTTTGAAACTCACAAAGGAAAAGGGTTTCTTGGGCAGTAGAATGAGCAAATCAAGGCACGTGTCGCACCACCTGTAAACCAATGATCCACATGCAAATCTGACTGCTTTACACGTATCGCATGGCTGTCAAAACACCATTGACATCGGTTGCCTCTTCTATAAAGAGTGCCTCTTTGCTCTTACCAAAACAATTTCGTTATCCAAGTGTGTTCACTCAGTGATATTTTGTAAGAAATACCGAGAGAGCTGTTTGATTTGTTGCTGATTTTTCTGTTTGTGTGGAATTTGAGGGCGAGATGGCTCAGACTGTGGGAAGGAACGTGGCAGCTCCATTGCTGTTTCTCAACTTGATCATGTATTTGATCGTTGTCGGTTTTGCTAGTTGGTGTCTCAACAAGTTCATCAATGGCCAGACTAACCACCCTAGTAAGTTTTTTCATCATCTGCCTCTCTTTGATTTGTTGGTTTTCTTGTTTAATGGTGACTTTAACTCCGAGTTACTGCAGATTTTACCAGTTAGTTAGGAGAGTATGAGCCCTTTAAAACTTAGCTCTAGTCTCTGAACTAATTCCCTTGTCGTAGTTAGGTGTTTTCAGAGTAGCCTCGAATATCATCTTGTCAAGAACACAGACTCCCAATTTTTTTGTGTTTTTTTTTTTTTTTTTTGTGGTTTTTGAGTAGCCTCGAATTTCATATTGTAAAAATTTGGGCAGGTTTTGGAGGAAATGGTGCGACTATGTTCTTTTTGGTATTCTCCATATTGGCTGGAGTGATGGGCACAGCATCAAAGCTGGCCGGAGCAAACCACATCAGATCTTGGAGGAGTGATAGCTTAGCTGCAGCAGGATCATCCGCCATCGTGGCATGGGCTCTCACTGCACTGGCCTTTGGGTAAATCTCAAACTCTGACTCGATCACATATATAGCACTTAAGCACGCTTAATGTTGTTTAATAGACTCATCGTGTGGTTAATTAGTCGGATGATTAATTGTGTTGCTTGTTAACAGGTTAGCATGCAAGGAAATAAACATTGGAGGATACAGAGGATGGAGACTGAAGGTCTTGGAGGCTTTCATAATAATCCTGACGTTCACTCAGCTCTTGTACCTCTTGATGCTTCATGCGGGCGTCTTCAGCAGCAAGTACGGCCCGGGTTACCGTGACACCGACTACCCAGTTACTGGCCGGGATCCGATACACAAGGGCACCACCGGAGGAGTCCCTGCTTCTAGGGTTGTTTAAGGCATAGGGATAGCATATATAGCAGTGAGACTCCCACTTGCGAAGGGAGTGAACCGTCTCTTTTGTTTCCTCTCCGTTTCTGGGAAGGTTTTGTACTTCATAATTTAATGTGGAATTTTAAGTATTTTACTTTGTGGTTTTTTGTGGGGGAATTGGATCCTCTCCTAAGCTTAGGACAAAACGAATACAAATAAGGGATATTTTAAAAGTTATAATAATTGTAACTGTTGGATTAAAATGATCTGAGAGAGAGGATCCAATTCCTTTTGTGGGTTGTATAGGTAGGGATGTAAGCGGTGACCAACTGTGGGTTTGCGTGCGTGTGTGTACGGACTTGTAATGTGGGAATTGGTTCAATATTCAGCATTATGTATGTGTACATCATATGTAAATGTATGCATGGTTTTAGTTAGTGCATGCTTAGCATCCTCTTTGATATAAATCGGTTTGTGTTGGGTGTTTTTGAATGCGAATTCCGATTCGGTTCCTAGCTAGGTGATGAGGAAGTAAAATTAAATACGAAATGCTAGAGACTTAAAATTTTAAATTGAATTTGCAAACCAAATAACGTGTCATCATTAGAAAATAAATATTTTTAATTAGCACTTAATTAATAACTACATTATTTAGTTTTGGAAATTTGATTTAAATTAATAACTAATTTTTGTCTTGTTTTGGGCTCTCGTCATGTGCTTGTCACATGACCAAAAGAGAGAGGGGGTGAGGTAAAGAGGGAGAGAGGGTGAGTCAACAAATCAAAAGCTCCGAAGTCTTGTAGCCTACAAATTGGAGTGAGTAATGGCCTACTAAACTTAATTGGGATGGGTGTGGGTGAGCCGAGCTACTAAAGTTTTACAACGTTCTTGAGTTTTTTCTCAGAAGAAAGCTACCATGGTTTGCCTGGTTGTAAACTTCCGAAAGCAAGGTGCCTTAAATATTCCGATGTTGAATTCATGATCTTAGCAGATATCAATTGGAATACCTCTAAATTTGTTGTTAATGGTAAACGAGTATTAGCAAGTATTCAAAAACTTGATTAAGCCCAGAAACAGAAGAATTATATCCCTTTCCTTCAACCAAAATGTGGTAATATAGAATCAAAGAGAATACCAGAAGCTCAAGCAACAATAAATAAAGATCTGTTCGCAAGAAAAATTAGCTAAAACTCAGCAACACTGCCATGCTCGAATCACATTCATCTATTAAGAATCAGCTCTTAAGCAGCAACTATTTCAAAGCACAAGGGAATCAAAACTTAAGGAGAAGGATAAGGGAAACCCATCAAATCAACTTCCCCTGGACTTTTACATGATGTTTAGACTAATTCTTTCGAAAATAAGCTGACAACAACGCAATTCCAAGCTTAACCTTGGGTGATGAAACCTTCCTTGCGACCTTCAAACCCTGGCCGCATGAGCTTTTTCTCTCTTTTCGCGATTTTCCTGTTTATCTTCTCTTGCTTCTTCTGCGATATGTTATCTGATCTCTTCTTCTGTTTATCTGCTTTCATCTTCTCCGTGGTTTAACCCTTCCCTTCCATTTCTCGGCATTCTTCTGATGCCGCTTCTTCTCCTTCTGAATGCTTTGTTTCAACAACTTTGGATCATCGTGAACCTTGATCCCAGCAGCTCTACTTGTTGCTGCTTTCCAAGAATGCTTCTGCGAGATTATCTCACCCTTGTCTGGATCTTTCTTGGCTTCTTGCAACTGTTTTGCCCTCTCAAGCTCCTGCAACTTTGACAATTTTTTCTTCTTATTTGTCTTACCAAGCTCATCTTCGTCCCCAAGTTTGACATAACCGAATGTCAGCTCCTTTGCAGCCTCTGCAACATCTTTCTCCACTTTAGCCGCTGAATCATCACCAGTAGATTTCTTACCATCAGATACGGCTTCTCTCTTCCGTTTCTTCTCATATCTTTCCCTTCGCTCAATCCTCTTCCTTGCTCTCTCTGAACCTTCACAATGCCGACCAGCCCGAAACTCATCAAGTTTACGACGAAGCCGTTGCTGGAGTTGTTCATATGTCACTGAACGTTCGTCATCTTCCACTGAACATTCATCATCTTCCAGGCCAGGCACCACAGGCTTGATCTCTATTTCGTCACTATCACTCTCATCGTTTGACTTCTTTTCCAAACTTTGCTTTAGCAAATCAAGGGTTGTCTTAGAAGACTTCTCTGGATCCAACCGTTCTCTTCGAGCTTTCTTAATGTTTTCCTTTGATTCCTTCTTTGCTGAAGCTTTTGCAGTCTTGCTGAGACCTTGAAACCATGGCTTATCATCATCATCAACGGGTAGATAGAACCTAGCAGGTATGAGCTCAACTAACATGTCGAAGAATTGAGAATGCTGATGGATAATAGACTTCAAATTGAGAATTGGATTGGAATCACTGATATGACTTCCTCTTTTTTCTTCATCTGCAAAGTGATCAAAATTGAGGTAAATAGTGAGCACCAGATAACCGTTGTGAACGGATGTCCAACTGAAGGAATCAAACCAGCACAAAGAATACTATGGGTCTCCCTCTCCCTCCCACCACACACCCACTATACAACCAAACCACTACCTAAGAACTTTTCATTTGCCATGATGAACAAAGCAAAATAGAAAACGGCTTATAAAATTTGATGAAAACCCAGCAACAGTAAGATTTCAAACAAATCAAACAGAAATCCAGTTAGAATAATCAGCATTCAGCAAAAGAAATAAATTACAAACATAATGGAACTATGCAATCTGATAAGGCCAGTTTACATTATGAGCATACATTATGCCCTAAACCATCCACGAAACCAAATTAAACCCATAAACTTAAGCAAAAAAAACGAGATTACTGAAGTTCTTTTAAGCTAAATAAAAATCAAGAGAACTAAGTTGCACAATAATCTGTGGGTGTACGAGAGAAGAAGATGAAGAGAAAGATACCGTGGTGAATGCCGCGGCGTCGATACAGAAATCAGTAGCTGAAGCCTTTTTTTTTTTTTTTTTTTTTGGTTTTTGGTCGTAATGGTTAATTCATAGAAACAAAACTACAAAGAACCCTAGAGGGATGGGCTTTTAGTGGGCTAAAATCATATTTTTATTTATAATGGAAATGGACTGGGCCGTTTTTGCTGACATTTCGACGGCCTGATAAGCAAAGGGTTTTTTTTTTTTTCCCTCTCGAAAGCAGAGACATTTTCAGTATGATACAAGAAAACCTGTATACCGTTATAATGTTGGGACTAAATTAATTTACGCCTAGTTAGATAAATGGTTCTCATGATGATAGTATTCGAAAGATAGCTCATGTGGTAAAAAGTTTTGGATTTAAACTCCTATGGTGACATCCATTAGAAATTAAGTCCAACATCAAAATATTCATTAGTTTCTCAATTAAGCTTTCTTTCTTTATTTCTTTTTAAGTAGAGGGGTTAGATAGTGCAACCTCTTCAACAAGTTTCTCATCAACGTTGTTCCCGAAACATGCTAGCACAATATAACCAAGAACAAGCTTTAATTCCAATGATCCTATTCGAGAGCAACAGTAATCAAAGTCTTCGAACACTGACTTAATAAATCTGTCCTTTTTTCTATATTAAACAAATGACTTGATTTGATAAATAGATGAATTGAATCCAGATCTTTTCTTTATTAGTAGAACCTAAAAAATCTCCGACTGAAAAATTTACAACCGCAACTAAAACTAATATATTAAAATAATCTACAGTAAATCTGGTTCTTTAGTAAAATCGAGAGAGCTCAGCTCCATTTTTGCTCATGTGACTTTTTCTGTGTGTGTGTGTGTGTTTTTTTTTCCACCAATAAAACTTACAATTTCAGAGCAAGGATATATGGTAGAGATGTACAAAGATTTGAATTATTTTTTATTGGGCTAAATCGTGAAAATGGTTCTTGAAATTTACATAACTTCTAATTTTGGTCTATGAGATTTCAAATTAATAGAAGTGGTCCTTGAGATTGTCCACCATCCATTATTTTGGTAAAAACTCCATTAAATATCCAGGAACTCTTGGATGGAAGTTTGGACAATTTTCAAAGCTTCGTAACTCAATCGTTTCTTAACCAAATTCGACCCATAATATATCAAAATGAAGATAGAAAATTATAGAATAAGATTATACATATTTGGAAGCCCAATGTTTACCGGACATGGTTGGAAAATAGCCTCAAAGTTGACTGTTTCGAGGAAAAACTACAAAACTCGCCGAAAACTAGGTAAACTTTAAACGTTCATAACTTCTTCAATACTCAACGAAATCAAGTGATTCAAAAATGAAAATCATACTTCTCGACGAGATAAAGAGAATGATACCTTTTTTTATGGCTAACTCACTGTGGTTTGGCCGAAAAATGGCTCGACTCGAGACCAAGGCAACCACTTTCAAGCCGTTTTCCGGCCAAACTAAGGCGATTTAGCCACTAAAAAAGATACCATTTTCTTCGTCTCATTGAGAAGTATGATTTTTGTTTTTGAATCACTTTATTTAGTTGAGTATTGAAGAAGTTATGAGCGTTTAAAGTTTACCCAATTTCTGGCGAGTTTTCCAGTTTCCCCTCGGACCAGTCAAGTTTGAGGCTATTTTCCGACCATCTCCGGTGACCACTAGGCTTCTAAATATGTATAATCTTATTCTACACCTTCCTATCTTCATTTTGATATATTATGGGTCAAATTTGGTTAAAAAACGATTGAATTACGAAGCTTTGAAAATTGCCCAAACTTTCAGCCAAAAGCTTCGGGACACTTAACGGAGTTTTTAATGGAAGGACGAAAATGATGGATGGTGGACAATTTCAGGGACCACTTCTATTGATTTGAAATCTCAGGAACCAAAGTGATGTGTTATACAAATCTCAGGGACCTTTTTCGCGATTTAGCCTTTGTTTCTTGTGTTCCTCTCCAACCGTTAGCATCCCAAGTGGAAAACATGGAGGCAATAAGTTGATTCTAAACTATGGTTGGCCCCTTCGAAATTGACAGTGGCGGCGGAGGAAGCTTGGTTGTTGACTGTGGAGCCATGGCTAAAGGGGTTAACAAAGAGTTAATGGAAATTTTGCTTTTGTGATTAAATTCTAACGGATTTCACCATAAGGTTTAAGTCCTAATGCTTTTATCACGAGGGTTACCTTCCAACTACCCTATTGTCATGAGGACTATTTATTTAATTAGGCCTTAGTTTTACTATTACTAGCAATTGTACACATTCTATTGATGTGCTTATTAACATTTTTAAAATAAAATTTACAACGAGAGAAAATATAAAATGGTTGCTAAAACTTTTGGGTGACGACCTTCAAATGATTTCATCATTGAAGAGCCAGTTCATATCTTTAGCGATTGTTTCTGGATAACTATTTAGAGTAAAAGTTTATTTTATTTGGAAGAGAAACATGGAAGAGGTAATGAGAGCAACTGATATGGTTACCTGGTGTTGG